CCCCCCCCCCCCCCACAGCACGGAAGGCTGCCTGTAGGACGCCTCTCACAAGGGTCTCCCCTTCCTCGCCTGATCCTCACTCCCAGGGCGGGTGGCTGATGTGCATACACACCCCGAGTTGAGGGTCCCATCAGGACCCCCCTGTGTGTGCTCATGCCGGCGTGTAGAGGTGTGTGTGGCGGGGGGGGGGGGGGGGGGGGGGGGGGGTCTCAGCCACGCTCTCTCTGAGCAGGAAGGTCAGCCAAGCTGCTGTCACCCTCCCAGGAACTTCACTCCCTGCCAGCACAGAGGAAAGGCCAGCTTTCCTGCCTGGCTCCCTCGCCGTCTACGAGAAAATACGGCTTCTTGCAGCTGGTGCGGCACTGAAGGGCCCCCCATGGTTGGATCTGAGGCCCTTGGCCGGTCCAGGGTCACGCGCAGCCCACCCAAGGGTCCTTCCGGCGTCCCTCCCCCATCCTAGGAACTGGCATCGTCCGCTTTTGGTGCCCAAAGTCCGAAAGCGTCAGAAGCACACCTCCTCGCCCACTGTAGAGATGAGAAAACCGAGGCCCAGAAAGTGCGGGCTCTTGGGTAAAGTCGCACAGAGAAGGCGGTGGTGGAAGTGAAATCTGTCGCAGGTGGGCTCCCCGAACTCCCAGCCCAGCCCCCCTACCTCCTTGGCCCCCGGGGGCACCCCCTAAAGAGCTCCTCTGTTCCCCGGAACCTGCCCCCTGGTGGGGGTGGGGAACCGGAGGTTTCCTGTCTGGGCTCAGAGCGAAGGCGCTCAAAGAGGGACAGAGGAAGGAGCAGCCAGCAGCCACAAAAGGCTTCAAAGGGCTTCGGGCCTCTGCCAAACGGGCTTCCACGGCCCAGCGGCCAGGGCTCCCGGCCCGCCCCCGCCCTGCGGCCAAGGCCATTCATCCAGGCCTCCCTCCCTGAGCGCCAGGCAGCCGGGTAAGGGCCGCGGCTTCCCCGAAGCCCTGGGTCGTGCCACCCAAGGCGTGAGCCTGGGAACGCGCCCGCCTCCTGCCCGGAGCCGCAGGCCAACTCTGACCAGCCTCTCAGCCGGCAGCTTCCCGGCCTCGGAGCAGGGAAGAAATGTGCATCACTGAGAGGGAAACTGAGGCTCAGAGAAGGGCCAGGGAGAGGCAAAAAGAGCCCTTCGGGATCCTCTCGGGGGTGATCATTTTGCGAGCGTCCCTGACTGGCCTCGGGAGCCCCCCACAGCTGCGAATTCCTCACTTGCTAAGAGGGGGTGGGGGTACACAAGCGCCCAGGCTCCCCGTGGGTGCGGGCGACACTTGAGGGTGAAGTGGAGGGAGATTCCGAGCCAGGGGCTGAGCCCATGGACAGCCTGTGTGGCAGGATCCCAGCTAGCTTGCGGGTTTCTGCGCCCTGGGGTCTCCGTGCCCCTTGACATTGTTTGTGGGCACCTCCCATCTGGCCCCCGGAGCTCCCGCCAGAGTGCGCGCCGGGGGATCCCCGCGCTCCAGCTCTGTGCTCCCGGGTCGGTGCCCGCGGCCCGCGCAGGGGGTCGGCGGGGCCGCGGGGAGACGCAACTGACCTTGGCGGGCATCAGAATGACGAGCGGCAGCAGCAGGAGCGGGGTGAGGAACAAGATCACGAAGGACTTGAACCTGGAGACATAGGTGCGCGCCGCCGAGGCCATAACGCAGGAGGGAGGCGGCGGGAGAGGCGAGTGACGGCAGCCAGCGACCCGAGGGCTTAAGAAGGGGGGCCGCAGCGGGAAGGGGAGGGGGGGCAGTGCCAACCCCGCCCCCGTGGCGGGGCCTCCCCGCGGCCCCAGGGGCGGGGCCACCGCGCGGGGTCGGTGGGGCGCGCCGGCCCCCAACTCCGCCAACCCCGCCCGGGAGCGTCCTGGGCCCGAGCACCCGCCGGCTCTCCAAGCGTTGCCTGCGCCGCCCAGGACAGAGGCGCGCGCGGGGCTGCCGACCAGGGGCGATAGGTCGTTCGTGGTGCCGGCTTTGGCGTGAGCCCCCGTCCCCAGAGCCACCTGCAGCCTCCTGGTCTCCGCGGGGCTCCCAGACGGAAAGTCCTCGCGAGCCCCTGGGTCCCTCGGAACTGACGCCCCGGCCGCTCCCTCCTTTGCCGGTTACTCCCGCCCCCGCCTCCCGCACTCCAGAAGGGTCTCTGGCGGAGACGTCCCCGCGCCCTCCTCGCCGCCGGCCTTGCGCCCGCAGGTCACCCCGGCCTCCCGGCCGCGTCCGCGCTGCGCTGGGCTCAGGACCCCTCCCCCCCTCCGCGCGCCCTCCCCGACCCAGCGCATCCCGCGCTCTGCAGCCATCGCCGAGGAGGCCGCGCTGAGGTCCCCGAGGGCCGAGCGCCTTTCGCCCTCCAGCGGACACCAGCCGCCTTCGGCTCCCGCCTGACCCAGGCTGCTGTTGCCAAGTTACAGAAGGGACGGCGGCCGGCGGGGCAGGGGGTCTCCGGTGGAAGGGCCCTTCGAACATTCTCTCTCCTGAAAACACTTACTCAGCACCCGTTGTGTGCTGGGCCCCTGGCTGGGGCGCTGGAGACCAAGGTGCAGACAATACGGCCTCCTCACTGCCTCCTTCCCTCCCTTCTCCTCCGCAGGCTGGTCTCATCCTGCAGCTTTCTGTTGGTGAGTCGCACCCAGCCTGGGTTTGAACCCCAGCCTGCCCCTTAGTGGTCAGGCCGGGTCTCATCCCGCCCTGGTGCTGGAGCCCCGCATCGCATTTCCAACCTTTCCCGCCTGGACGCACAGCAGGACCTAAAACAACACATCCTAAATCAGGCCGGCGACTTTTCCCGTGACCCCCACCTAAGGAGGTCCCCCAGACCCCTCCTGCCTCTGCGAGCCTCCTGCCAGCACCCTCCTGCTTTGTCCTTCTCAGAATTTCCCCCCTTGCCTTCCCCACCCCCAACCCTCTACCCCCACACCCTGCACACTCACCACAATCTGTACCTTTATGTTTACTGGCGTGGACTTTCTTTAATGTCTGCTTTATTCCTCACCGTCTGCCAGCCAGCACCTTCTACGTGGCTGGTGCGGTGCACTCTCTCAGAGCCTTTGCTCCGGGACATGTGAATGAGACAAGGAAACCATTTCAGTAGGTAATACAACGGCTTTCCAGGGGGCACAACCCGGGTAGAGGTGGACCCCGGAGCCGTGCTGCCTGGATCTGTGTCCCGGCCTTATCACATGAAGCTCATTTTTTCTTAAATCACATGAAGCTCATTTTTTCTTAAATGGGGGTAGTAACACCAACTGATGCCAAAAAGTTGCCTTGAAGGTTGCAGGAGTCAACGCTCAGAGAGCTAACACGATCTCTGGCATCCGAGAAGCAGTCGGGAAAGATTTGCTCTTACCAGTATCCGAAAAATGCTCTGAGTTGCAGCAGCGATGGGGGAAGACTTCACGGAGGCGGTGACATTTGGGCTGAGACCTCGGAGCTGAGTAAGATTTGCCAGGCAGCAGTGGAGGCTGGTCAGAATCCATCAGTGAATGAAAAAATAACAAAGTTGTTGAGAAAAAAAAAAACTTTAGAAATTTAGTCCTAGAACGTAAGTACTGCGACGAGAAAATAAACCACGTGGATGGCGGGATTATATCAATTCGTGGACGGGAAGACCAAACACCGTAAAGAGACACGCATCTCTCAAGTCAATCAACAATTCCCATTCGATTCCCGTTAAACCCCCACGGAGTCTTCGTCTCACAAGCGGTCTAGAATTCAGAAGTTTGCGGGGAGTAACGGAAGGAAATTGCCCTATCAGAGTTCAAGGCTTACGAAGTCATAGTAATCGGTGCCATCGCTCACTACTGACATAGGGACAGAAAAAGTAGGTCACCAGATTAAAGAGCCTAGAAACGGACCGTGCACGCTCATATGGAACCTTGACGGACAAGGCAGATTGATGGATATTCAGTGCCCACTGGCAGCTGTTAGACTAATTAGTTTTTAGCAGCAGGGATATTTGTCTTTCGCTAAACATGTTGACCACGTAGGAACAGCATGATGGTAATATCTAATAAATTGATGAACTTATTTCCCATTTTTGTATTCATGAGTTTTATTTAGTTATTTCCAAAAGCTGAACATAAAGGTTCGATTTTCGAATGCAAATATATTTACCAACAGAAAACTCTGTTGTTGTTTTTTTTTTAATTTTTTTTCAACGTTTTTTTATTTATTTTTGGGACAGAGAGAGACAGAGCATGAACGGGGGAGGGGCAGAGAGAGAGGGAGACACAGAATCGGAAACAGGCTCTGAGCCATCAGCCCAGAGCCCAACGCGGGGCTCGAACTCACGGACCGCGAGATCGTGACCTGGCTGAAGTCGGACGCCTAACCGACTGCGCCACCCAGGCGCCCCTCTGTTGTTTTTTTATCAAACTCCCACTTACAAAAAGCTTAAAGCTTAAAAAAGATTTTTTTTAATGTATTTATTTTTGAGAGAGAGGGAGAGAGACAGAGTGCGAGCAGGGGAGGGGCAGAGAGAGAGAGGGAGACATGGAATCCGAAGCAGGCTCCAGGCTCCGAGCTGTCAGCACAGAGCCCGACACGGGGCTCGAACTCACGAACCGTGAGATCACGACCTGAGCCGAAGTCGGATGCTTAACCGACCTAGCCACCCAGGAGCCCCCAAAAAAGCTTATAATTTTAGCCTGTTAACATCGCATGATGATAAATGAAGTAATGAAAAGGAGTGTATCAATTTATAGCTTGTATTGGTAACTTACCGAAAAATGGATTAACTATATTAGGTGTCAAACGTCATGTCTCAATGTGGCTACTTGGAGTAACCTACCCCCTCAGGATCTGTTCTGCATTGTTTCCCCTTGGGGCTTTTTAAAAATGATGTTCCTCGGGGCGCCTGGGTGGCTCAGTCGGTTTAGCGGCCGACTTCGGCTCAGGTCATGATCTCGCGGTCCGTGAGTTCGAGCCCCGCGTCGGGCTCTGTGCTGACCGCTCAGAGCCTGGAGCCTGTTTCAGATTCTATGTCTCCCTCTCTCTCTGACCCTCCCCCGTTCATGCTCTGTCTCTCTGTCTCAAAAATAAATAAACGTTAAAAAAAATTTTTTTTAATAAAAAATAAAAATAAATAAAAATGATGTTCCTCAAGATATGGATTCAAACATTAGGATATATTTCTTGAAGATAAAAATAAATAGTTCCCTAACTAAAAATACGTTTTTACTGATATACACAAAACTAAAATTATTTTGGAATATTTGGTCATAATGATATATCATCTGTAATTGTGTAATGCAACTTTTATCCCCATCTGAATAACTTAATAGAATTTTAATCCTTTTAATGTTTTTTTTGTTTTTTTTTTTTTGAAGGAGAGAGAGAGAGAGAGACCTAGCATGAGCGGGGGAGGAGCAGAGAGAGAGGGAGACCCAGAATCGGAAGCAGGCTCCAGGCTCCGAGCTGTCAGCACAGAGCCTGACGCGGGGCTCGAATCCAAAAACTGCGAGATCGTGACCTGAGCCGAAGTTGGACGCTCAACCGACTGAGCCCCCCCAGGCACCCCTAATAGAATTTTAATCTTAACACCAAGGCAGTGGGGCACCTGGGGGGCTCAGTCAGTCTGTTAAGCGTCTGACTCTTGATTTTGGCTCAGGTCATGATCTCATGGTCCTTGAGATGGAGCCCCACGTCGGGCTCTGTGCTGACAGCCCGGAACCTGCCTGGGATTCTCTCTCTCCCTCTCTCCCTGCGCCCCCCCCGCCCCCCTCTCTCTCAAAATAAATAAATCAACATTTTTTTAAAAACTGAGGTATATCAATTTGACCTCAGTTTCAATTTGCAGTTACTACTTTCTGGTAAGACATAATGGGCTTCGTGTGCAATTTAAATTTTTGACAATGTACCAGCCTATGGGTGAATTTCTAAGACATCGACATGGGGATGTCGATGAAAACAGAGATGAGAATTCCCTTAGATACCGTGAGGCGGCGGATGCGACGGCCAGAATCAGACTCTAGAAATTACACAAATGTAGTAACGGCTTTTCAATCCCATAAACCCAGGTGCAACCACCTCAGAATTTACAGAACGCTGTTCATGCTGAGCCCTGCAGGCCGCCTCCCCAGCACACTTGTTCATTTACGAAACCATCTCTCGAGCAAAACGGCTTTGCAAAACAGCCTCCGAAAGCACACCTATCGATGTTCTAGGAGAAGAGCTGAGTGATGATGAGAACGTAAGGCAAGCGTAACATCTTCACAGGCCGTCGCGGCTCTGGACACTCATACAGACCAGCATCACTGGGGGCCAAGACTAGGATTGTCTTAAAAATATTTAGAGCTGAGGACGCCTGGCTGGCTCAGCCCGTTAAGCAACTGACTTCATCTCAGGTCATGATCTCGCGGTCAGTGGGTTCGAGCCCCGCGCTGGGCTCTGTGCTGACGGCTAAGAGCCCGGAGCCTGTCTCACATTCTGTGTCTCCCTCTCTCTCTGCCCCTCCCCCGCTTGTGCTCTGTCTTGCTCTCTCAAAGATAAATAAACATTTAAAAAAATGTGAAAGCACAGGGTGGATGTCATCTATTGGCCCCATGTGCTTTCAAATCCACTTGTCTGTGGCAAAGATAAAAAACGTTGGCTTTCGATTACGTTTGTCTTTTTTTTTTTTTTTTTAATTTTTTTTTTTCAACGTTTATTTATTTTTGGGACAGAGAGAGACAGAGCATGAACGGGCGAGGAGCAGAGAGAGAGGGAGACACGGAATCGGAAACAGGCTCCAGGCTCTGA